GAAACATACCCTCGTAGTACGCTCATCAAACTTGACCTGCGTCGCGAGAATCACAATATCCCTCTTCGTCTCCTCAACTTCAGCTGCTTTCTCTTTCGCCTTGGTATCACTGACCCTCCTCTTCTTCTTTCCCCTCTTCTCTTCTTCATCCCGCTCCTCCTCATTCTCGTCTTCCCCATCATTCTCAGCATCATCCTTCTTCCCCCCAGCCGATTTTCGCCTCTTCTTCCCTGCTCCTTTGTCCTTCTTTTCACCATCCTCCTCGTCTTCTTCTCCCTCCGGCTCCACAGCACCTTTCTTCCTCTTACTCGAAACAGCCGCCGGCGTGTCACCCTCCACCACGAAATAGTCACTCGTCCTCCCCTTGCCCTTTGTCCCCTTTTTACTCTTCTTGAGCTGTTCTTCGAAATGCATAAGATCAGGCATAAGCTCGTCGTGCAACTTTTGACTCGCTTTTGTCGCTGCGTTTCTCCGTCTTCTCCCTCCGCCGCCATGAACTCCGTCGTCGTCGGTTTCAGAGGGAGCAGAGGAGGTGGGCGAGGAAGAGCGACCAGGGGATTGGGTTTGAGACGAGGGGGGTTGGGAGAGAGGAGAAGAGGGCCGGATTCTTGGACGTTTGTCGTCGACGTCCATGGCATCTTCGTCTTCGTCGTCAGAGGGGATGTGTACCGGTCTACCTTTGGCACGAACAGCGGGTTTGACGAGAACAGCGACTTTCGAGGCTGGCTTGCTCTTCGATGCGGGTTTGACGGTGATCGCCCCTTTGGACGCTGGTTTCGTAGTCGTCTTGGACTTGGAAGCCGGTTTCGCGGTGGTAGCCGACTTGGAAGCAGGCTTCGCCGTCGTGCTCTTGCCCACCAAACTCGCTCTCCTGCCTCTCGTCGACGGACCAGCTCTCGGTTCCTCCTCTTCACCATCTATGTCCATTGCATCTCCCTCCTCCTCATCTTCGCTCTCGACTGCCTTCTTCCTTCCCTTCGCAGGAGCCTTGGATGCAACCTTTGACTTGGGACCTGCTTTCTTCTTCGGCACCTGCTCCTCCTCTTCACCGTCAGAGCTGGAAGGACTCTCCACTCTCGCCTTCCCTTTCTTCGTCGTCGCATCACCAAGACTCTTCCGCACACGCGTCGTAGCATCTCCTCGTGGTCGATCCAAAAGACTTGGTCTCCCCTTCTTTGGTTTCTCTCCGCCTCCTTCTTCAGCGTCGTCTCCCTTTGCCTTCGCCTTTGGATTCTCCTCATCTGCATTCGCCTTCCTGGCACCTTCCTTCTTCGCCGGAATCAACTCAACCTCATCATCAGACTCACTACTGCTCTCATTCAACACCTTGTCCAATTCTTCATCTCTCCCGTTCCTCCCTTCGTCTCTGTCATCCGCAGACGTATCATCATCAGGTTCGACGACGGGAGATGCTACGCGCGTTTTACGAGGGGAAGGTTTCATGCGGTCTTTCATTGAGGTTTTCTTGGGTGTGGTTTCGTTAATCGCGACTTTCTTGGGAGAGGTTTTCTTGGGCGTGGTTTCGTTCAAGAGTGTGGCGGGTGGAGGAGGCTTCCTCGGTGAAGCCTTGGTCGGTGAGGAAGTGGGCTTGCGAGGGGTGACTCTGATCGCTCTCTCCTCTTCTTCGTCATCCTCCTCTACGTCTCTCGCGGCTCGCTTTGCAGGAGACTTTGACGCGGACTTGGCCTTGGCCTTGGTCTGAACAACCTCGACTTCCTCATCCTCTTCGTTGTCAGAGATATCTACACCCCTCCGTCCCTCCTTCACCTTCTCGACCGGGCGCGAGCTCAAAGGTTTGGTCGGACTAGACGGCTTGACGGTACTTGAGCCCCTGCCAGGGTGCTTCTCCGGACTTGTCGATTTCGCAGTGGTCGGTGGCCTAGTCGGGCTCGATTTCTTCCGTGCCTCTTTCTCCCTCTCCCTCTCCCTCTCCAGTTCCTTCTCTCGCTCCTTCCTCCTCTCCTCGGCCGCATCAGCCCGTTTCTTCCTCGGCGAAACGTCCACAATCTCCACATCCGCCTCCGCCTCGGTAATTTCTTCTTCAACCAAGGCCTGAACTTCATCCACCTCTTCCCTATCAATCGCGCTCCCGGCTGTAGCTTGTGGCACCGACAATTCCGCTCCGTACCCGTTCTCGTCGTCCACTTCCATCGGCTTGGAAGTGTCGTTTGCGTCGACGTCCATGCTCACGTCCCCATCGCCATCATCCCGGGCAGGGGAAGGAGGTAGGGGGTGAGAATGGTCATACGCGTCTTCCTCTGCGTACATCTCCCGCATCGCATCAACTTCTTCCTCAATCTTGGTCTTCCGTTCACTGTGGGCTGAAACCGCGGGTCCACCTACAAGCTCGACGTTAACATCAACCTTTCGAGGGATGTGCAGCGAGCAACGCACCACCTAAAACACCCCTCACACCCAGAACCCCACTAAAATCGACCCCGGGGGGGAACATGATATACTTTTCAGTTGCAGGTGTGAGGTTTCGCCATTGGATGAAACAGTCTTCGAGCCAGGTGTGGTTCACGACCGGGATGGACCAGGAAAGGGCTTTGAGGGCTTTTGTAGAGTCTTTGCTGTGTGGTGAATGAGCTTTAGCGATGCACGTTTATGAGGGAAAGGAGGGATAGAGGGGCGGTGGTGCGTCGAGACGCAAAGGGAGTGTGGGGGAGGGAGAGGTGAAAAGGAAGGGGTCCGAAGCGAGAGAAAAGAACAACGAGGCGAAAGGAGTGGGAAGAAGAAAGAATCGAGGACGTACGTAGCAGCAACCAACACTGTATTCCTCGCACTCATACTAGGCGTAAACCGCGCACCCATCGTAATAATCAGTTTCTTGAGGTACTCTCTTGCTTCGCCTGTATAATTCGTCACTGTGATTTCCTATAACCCCATTGAATCTCATCAGCCGCCGCCCATCTCCCCTACGACCAGAACAAGGAGAAGGAGAAAAAAGACATACATGGTGCTCGAACCCCCCAATCTTCCCCCTCGGAATCGGATAATGCAACAATTGATCCATCGGACGCGTAAACACCCCAGTCGACTGCACATGATACACCCACGCCAGCGTGCCAATCGTCGTCCTAGACCCCTGGTGCGCCTGGACGTACCCCCTGCCCTCACGCCAACGCGTCACGTAGACATCGACAGTTCCTGATTTGATCGTCTCTGCTTCGCGTCGTTCGAGATCTCGTTCGTTTCGTGCTCGGCGTTGTTTTTCGGTGTTGGAGATGGTTGGCTTCGCTTGGGTGGGTTCTGAGAAGAGACAGGATTCAGCATCGGCTCAGCATTCGCCATGGGAGAAGAAACAGGAAGACGCAAGGAAGAGAATGATAAAACGTACCAACAAGACCTTGAACCCTCCCACCCCGATCTTCATCCACAACTTCCTCCTCCTCCCCATCGACATCGTACCACGCATCTTCATCACCCTCAAACCTCTCAATCGTACCACCCGCACGTCGAATGGAAGCTTCGACCGCTTGTCGCCTCCCACCCGCCAATTTCAACGTTCGAGAAAGTAAAAACGACTTTCCGTGCCAGACGTCTTTTGTCTGTCCTGTCGTCGCCGACCTCGCGGTGGTCGTTGGCGCTTGGACGTTGGTGGAGGGGTTGAGAGGAGGGAGACCAACGGAGAAGGCAGTCACGTCCAGATTCCGCTTTTCACCATTCGGCGTAAGCTTTACTGAGCTTTCGTAGACGCTCTTCTTGAGTGGGTCGCGTTCGATGTTGCCCGCTTTTTTACGCTGTTTCTCGTGTTCGTTGGGAGGCTTTATGAGGTGTAACAGTGAGAGGGAGCCGTTGGTGAGGTATGGTGGGTTGGGCCATTCGTATGGTTTTGTGTCGAGTGTGTCTATTGTGTTGTGTATCAGTGAGTGGGTGGATGGGAGAGAAGCAGTGGGGAGGTATGCGTACCTGCGCTTATGCCTAAACGCACACAATCGTCGAACCAGTGCGGGAGGACGACTTTGACGCCTGTTTGAGCTTGGAAATGGAGTGCTGTTGCGTATTTCGTCGACGTCCCTGGAGGTCTATACATACACGCTCAGCACTTGCCCTCACAGACATATGAGCGACAGACGACGTACGCGTTCTCATCGACAGGAGGTCTCGCTCGAATCGCGAACAGATGCGTGACTTCCTTGGTCAATCCAGTACGCCATTGCCCACCAAGCGCAATAATCCCACCAGAGAGGACTTCAAGGTCCACAGGAGGCAACTCCGTCGCGCAGGCTACGACGCCAGAGAAGAAGAGTGTTGGATCGGGTGAGTAGTATTGTGGTCTACATCCAAAAAGTGAGCACCGGGATACAGAACGGGAAAGCAAGAGAAGACGCACGGCTGGACCTTCCCAAGGACGGCACTCCTCTCGACCCATTTGGGCGTAACGGTCCATCGTTCCTTCTTCTCGCCGTCTTCTTTGCCATCTTCAGTGTACCCCCATGAATCGCCACCTGCTTTCCTTCGTCCTGCAGTATTGTCCCCGGATTCCCTTTGTTGGAGATCTTTGAATGCTTGCCACCCTTCAAAACAAGGTGTGTTTGTGATGACTACGTCAACGTCTTGGAGTCTTTCAGTGTCGTTTGTTGAGGTTGCGCCGTTTGTGTCGAGGATGTGTTGGACGAGGTCGAATGTCTCTGGAGGGATGGAAGGAGAGAGATGATACGTCGTGTTGGAGAATAGCATGACTGTGTCGTGTATATCAAAAGCGATGTGCTATGGATGCATAAGAGTCAAGATGAACAGCAAAGACGAAACAAGCGCGACACGAGAAACGATGAACGCGTCCCTGACTAAGCACTTCACACACTCTTCGGTCCCGTCGCCCACGCGCCTTGTGGCGGTCGGCGATAGGGGTTAATTTTCGTTTGTCCAATGTCCATCGAAAGGATAGGAAGGAGCGGATTACCCCCCCTTGAATTTGACCCATCGAAGGAGCAAGCTGACTTGAAAAGGGGTCTTCAAAAGAAAATTATGAAGCTGTTATGAAATCCGACTTCGATGACCTGCAGTCGGGAATCGAACCCCCACGTCTCGTTCCTAAATTGCTTCTCAACAAGCCTTACTTATATCCTGGAACGCGTACTAGTCCACTGTACCATGGAGGTCTTCTCAGCCAACATGTCTCGTCTCCACAGTCACATAAGGTATCGCTTGAATTTAATCGCTCTGCCTCGTGTCGCCCACGCGCACATGACACTCAATACAGTGCGCTGTCTATCTTACGGTTCTTACCATCGATTTCGCAAGCTATGTTTCTCTATGTGTGTAGTGGAAAAAGACCATCGATCTTGCCTTTAATGTCTAAAGTAACATCCACGAGCGTCCTGCCAGAAACAAACAAACGCCCAAAGATTTGGACACAATCGTTTTTACGGGAGACCGCCGATACGGAGCCGAACTCCCATGCCTCGTTCCTTAACTGAACTTGAAGTAGTGCCACTCAGCGGCAAACTAGAACGCGCAATACACCACTACACTACGGAGGCAAGTAATATCGTGGACATGCACATACGTAGCAAATGATTATGGCAAAGCCAGATGGCATGAATGATGATTGTCGCTCTGCCTAGACTTTCACGAACCGTCTCTGATTACAAACAGGAGTGGGTGTTCTTAGCGTTGATGTTCGAATCATCTTCCTACAAAGCAAGAGATACAAGGAGAGCCTTAGACTCATCTGCGGGGTTCTGTAGAAAGTGAGTGATAACAAGTGAAAGGATCAGGAAGGAATAATAAAAAACTTTCCAGACTACCGAACATCCAACCTTGATAGGGAATCGTTGCGCCTAGTACTTTGCCACTGCACCACAGACGTTGTCCATCGTAGAATCAGACGCGTTTCCTAATCAACACTAGGCAACTCATCCAATAATTCAGTAAATCGAATAAACCTTGACTCCTGCGATGGCCGGGGGGAGTCGAACCTCCTGTCTCGGTCCACTGTCCGCACTTCTTGTTAAGCCCACCATTTGGATGGTGTAGCTGGACCACTGTACCACCCAGATCTTTCCGGACAGTGTTTTTCATTCCGAGGTGTGATAGGAGACGCATCCACTGCTATCACTTTGCTTCCCACCGCCCAATCGAGTCGATTAGTAGAGATTTTGCGCAAGAGCCACCAGGTGCCACTGGTGGTTATTTTTAGCCACACGTGGCTAATTCGCTGTGCGCAGAATTCGCGTACCGTTGCTCGCGCAATACGCCTTCACATCATCAGCAATTGGCTGGCCCAGTGGCAGGCGTGGCGGCCGTGGTCTGGGGATTAAGGATGTGGCGGAGTTGTGCCACGGCTGCCACAACGTGATAGGCGCACACTAATCTTTTTCGCGTCCACGTCTGGAATCATGACATTGACAAGGTCCTGGAATGCTTCACCCAGAAACAGAGGGGGAAGAGCACAACAACTGAAATGTTTAGGAGTCCGGGGGTAATAGCGGGTTAAGCTTTGACACTCAAACCATATTCTGACGTTTAAAAGGTAGAAGCGACGGGCACCTTGACACATATATTTTTGAAACACGCCCGGGGGGAATAGCCTCAAGAAGTGAAAGACGGTTCATAAATCGCCAAAAATAAAAATAAAAATAAACTTGGGGTTCGAGGAGTACATCTCCAGTGAGGATCGAACCCCACGTCTCGTTTCAAGCTCGCATTATGTCTGGTTGAGACGATACTTTGAATCGCTTGATACACCACTGTACCATGGAGATATTCTACTAAAACAAGCGTCCAAAGACATATCAGGCGACTACATTCACATGCGTCATGTCCAATAGGCGCCTGATCCTAGACCAGTCCTCACCACCCTCCCATTGAATTCCTGGTTCCATTTGAGACGTTTGAATAACAGAGCGTCTAATGAAAATCAAAGAATGACCAAAACGAATGGGTCCGCCACAGGCCTCCGATGGGGAGTCGAACCCCATCTCTCGTTCCTCAATTCATCTACCAATTGTTGACAAGATAGAACGCACAAGACGCCGCTATACCACGGAGGCTACTATCATGGAGCTGCGCCTGTATTGATAACAACGGCGAGGCACGATGGCGAGAACGATGATTATCCCTCTGCCTAGCGTGTGCCACTGCATCGCTTTGCCATTAAAACCCAGTTGGTATTAGGCGCCTTTCCAAAACCACTGTATACCCATCACTGGATCGTTCATAAGCCTGTTCTTCAACTTGCTAGTAACGCTCGAATGGGTGAATGAAGCGGAAAGTGTACTGGACCACTGTACTGCGGAGGGTTCGTCGGCGAGTGAATCATCGAAGCTGAAAATTACATTTCAGAAGACTCATGGTTTACTTTGACAGGATGAACCATGCAGGACTCTCGTGGGCTAATAGCCTCAGCTTTCTTCGCTGGGCCAGCTAGTAAGCCTGCTGCGCAAGCACACAGCTTTTGCTTACAGCAACCTTTTCAAGATCCCCGCTGTGCATCGGAGGATAGGCGCCCAATACGACTCCGAAGCGCCCAGTGATCCGAACCAGCGGATGTGATTCGAAGATATTCTACTCATACCCCGAGCGTTGATCAAGCACCTTCCTTTGAAGTAGTTCAACGACACCCTAACGACGGGATAGTAGCGACTTCTGTGGTTGATTGATAGATCTGGAAGCGAAATTGCAGTAGCATGAGCCGGAGCACGCTCAAGCAAGCATGGAAAGGTATTGGCAATTTGGCAGGGAGTGAGAAGCAAGCCCAGATCCGCATGCATCGGCATCAGGCTATCCGAATCACAGCCTTCAACATTTAGTTTCAACTTGGCGCTGAGTTGACGCTTGAGAGGGAGGACAAGAGATAGCGAGGGTGGGTCCTTTGAAGAGTCTAAGGTCGACAGGGTCGGTCGATGCCGGCGACGGAGGAAGGAAGGAGGTTGGTAGCCAGAGAACGTAGTTGAGCGCAGCGCTGAGGCTCAAAGCTCGAACTGGTAGGACAGAAGACCTTTATCAGTGAGCCGGTGCTGATGTGGTCGATGTCTGCGAACCAATTGCGGCTTTACCGTAAGAACGTATCGCCGCGATGGATGTACACATCCTAATAAATAGGAGGCCTGGCGCAAGCTGAAAGGAAACGTGCACCTCCTCAGTCGGACTACTGGTTCCAGGAGCCTGCTGTTGCACGAGAGCTGCAATAGCGCGAAGTTCAATCGCGCTGTTTAGGACAATAGAAGGAAGGACTTTTGGGTGGGGGAGCACCGCTGTGGGTGATCGAACCGTGAGCTCAATGGTAACGATGAAAGGCTGAAAGGGGCGCACGAGCAGACTAATAGAAGGAGAATCTTTAGCTTATCTAGGGGCAATGATTCATTTTTCTTTCTCATCCGTCATTTCCTTTGCTACCTCAGGCTTCAGCGTACTCCAACGAGTCGCCCCATGCTTTCTCTCGGCCTGCGCCATTCTTTTTGCCTGAATCGTCCACTGATGGAGACATTTGAAGCCTTCACACCCGTCTAACGAGGGTGTATCGACGATTTATGGTGACTACATCGACGTCTTGGAGTATCGTTGGTGGACGTCGCACCGTTGGTGCCGAGGATGTATTGTACGAGGTCGAATGCCTCTGGAGGGGTAAAAGACGAGAGGTGATATGTCGTCTTGGAGAAAGGCATGTTTGTTTCGTCTATATCAAAGGAGATAAAGTACCATGAATGCATAGAGTCAAGATGAATAGCAAGACGAAACAAACGCGACACAAGAAACGATGAACGCGTCGGTGAGTAAGCACTTCACACACTCTCGGTCCCACCACCACTTACATAGGGGCTCTCCTCAAAATGGCCGTTCTAATCACCCACAGGGAAGAGGCTGAAGCTGCATCTTTGAACGTATGTGGTGATGAGAAATTTTAAGAAAAATTAACCGAGATAGTGAGGACAGCAAGACCTCGGGTGGGGAATCGAACCCCACGTCCTTTTCACTTGGCGGATTACGAAGGCGTTTTGGAACTGGTACCGGTATACCACTGTACCACGGAGGCGCATCTACTGACGTCGCTCTGCGTGATTTCCAACACGTACCCCGTCCACCCATGCTGACCATCTTCTCATTAGACTCCTCATTCCGTTTGAAATGGTCAAATAACATCTTTCGACTGAGAGCGTCCCAGAAAAGCAACGAATGTCCAAAAAAAAAAAAGGCCTGATCCGTGATAGGCCTCCGATGGGGAATCGAACCCCGTGTCTCGCTCCTCAAGCCGTCCAACGGAGTTTTTTACAAGGCGGAACGCGTAATACGCCGCTATGTCACGGAGGCTACCATCCTCTAACCGCACCTGCACTAAGATGTCACCAATGACAGCAGTGAAGCAAGGTAGCATGGGCGACAATTGTCCAGCTCCCCCTGGGTGTCCGACAAGAGCCCAGGGTGTAATTGCGCGCTTCCTATTCTAACAGTTGGCTGGTCAAAATTATGCCCATGCCTGGCACTGAGAATTGAAATAACTCCGATGGCGAATCGAATGCACATCTCTCGCTCAACTGATTCCGTTGGAACAAGAGCCCATGAAGCGGAACGTAGTGTACCGGACCAGTCGTACCACGGAGGTCTTACAAGCGGTCATACCACAAGTTGTTCAAATATGGCGTTGAAGAAGCCTTATGGCTCACTTGACTTTGACGAACCGTCTCCGATTGCAAAGAGGCTCAGGAGTCTTGATTCTTCTCTCGGATGTTTAAAGCATGTTTCTGTAAGCCAGAGGAGTGTCTGCTGGATTCTATAGCAACAAATCGAGGGAGAAACTGTAAACATGTGAAAGGTTCAGTAAGGGACAAAAAAGAGACTTTACAGACGTGCTAGTTCACACCTCTGCCAGGGAATCGAACCACACGTTTCCCGCATCCATTCAACGCATCGCACCATTAGGCAACACATCCCATTCATCCAATGGATCGAGTACACTGTTTACTCTTGCTTGAAAATGTCCTTCCCAAAGATCTTCACTTGCTCGATTGCGTCGATGCCCTGTCGGGAGTCGATACCCACGTCTCGTCTACAGTCTGCAATGGTACAAATCATTTGGACTGCTCAGTCGGAACGCTGTAGATTCGTGTCGTTTATCATAGTCGAGCCTTCTAAATGGAGGAGGCAGGGTGGTGGTGTTGGT